GTTCGGATACTGTTCTCGCTAGACCGACAGAAGTATTGTGCCCGGCTTCCAGATCACCCATCCTTGTTCGGTTTTGTCATGAACTTAATGAAGATCCTACTCTACAAAAATATATATATTAATATTATGAGAGAGAGAGTGAGAGATAGATAGTGAGAGTGAGTGATAGAGAGAAAGAGAGAGAATGTGAGAGATAGAGAGAGTGAAAGAGATAGAGAGTGGGTGATAGAGAGAGATAGAGAGAGAGTGATAGAGAGATAGAGAGTGAAAGAGAGAGATAAAGGCAGAGATATTGTGAGTGAGTGGGTGATAGAGAGAGAGAAAGAGAGAGTGATAGAGAGAGAGAAAGAGAGAGTAAGAGATAGAAAGAGAGTGAAAGAGAGAGATAAAGGGAGAGATATAAAGAGAGTGGGTGATAGAGAGAGAGAAAGAGAGGGCGATAGAGAGAGTGATAGAGAAAGAGATAGAGTAAGAGATAGAGAGAAAGAGAGGGAGATAGAGACTGAGTGATAGAGAGAGAGTAAGAGATAGAGAGAGAGCGAAAGAGAGAGAGTAAGAGATAGAGAGAGTGAGTGATAGAGAGAGAGAATGAGAAGGAGATAGAGAGAGATAGAGTGAGTGATAGAGGGAGAGAGAAAGAGAGAGAATATGAGAGATAGAGAGAGAGTGAAAGAGAGAGAGATAGAGAGTGAGTGATAGAGAGAGGGAAAGAAATAGAGAGATAGTTATAGAGAGAGAGAAAGAGAGACAGTGAACGAGAGAGATAAAGAGAGAGATATAGAGAGAGTGGGTGATAGAGAGAGAGAGAAAGAGAGGGAGATAGAGAGAGAAAGAGAGAAGGAGATAGAGAGTGAGTGATAGAGAAAGAGAGAGAGAGAGTAAGAGATAGAGATAGAGAGAAAGAGAGGGAGATATAGACTGAGTGATAGAAAGAGAGTAAGAAATAGAGAGAGAGCGAAAGAGAGAGAGGAAGAGAGAGTAAGAGATAGAGAGAGTGAAAGAGAGAGACGAGAGAGTGAGTGATAGAGAGAGAGAAGGAGAAGGAGATAGAGAGAGATAGAGTGAGTGATAGAGAGGGAGTAAGAGATAGAGAGAGAGCGAAAGAGAGAGAGGAAGAGAGAGTAAGAGATAGAGAGAGTGAAAGAGAGAGACGAGAGAGTGAGTGATAGAGAGAGAGAAGGAGATAGAGAGAGATAGAGTGAGTGATAGAGAGGGAGAGAGAAAGAGAGAGAATATGAGAGATAGAGAGAGAGTGAAAGAGAGAGAGATAGAGAGTGAGTGATAGAGAGAGGGAAAGAAATAGAGAGATAGTTATAGAGAGAGAGAAAGAGAGAGAGAGTGAACGAGAGAGATAAAGGGAGAGATATAGAGAGAGAGGGTGATAGAGAGAGAGAGAAAGAGAGGGAGATAGAGAGAGAAAGAGAGAATGAGATAGAGAGTGAGTGATAGAGAAAGAGAGAGAGAGTAAGAGATAGAGAGAGAGTGAAAGAGAGATAGAGAGTGAGTGATAGAGAGAGAGAAAGAGAGAGTGAAAGAGAGAGAGTGAGTGATAGAGAGAGAATGAGAGAAGGAGATAGAGAGGGAGACGGAAAGAGAGAGAGAAAGAGACACAGAGAGAGATAAAGAGTGAGAGAGAGAGAAAGAGAGAGAGAGATAGAGAGTGAAAGAGAGATATAAAGGGAGAGATATAGAGAGAGTGTCGCCATTAACCAAGTGTGGTTAAGTTGTATGTTTGTATGTTAATATTCTGACAGGTGCATTGTAAGTCCTGTGACATGTATGTTATGCAAGTGCCAGTACATCTGATTTGCACATCTAATTTCAATATCTGTTACATCTTATCCATATTTGACTTATTGTATTCCCTTGATTGAAACAGGTTTAAATTCTAAACATGTTCAAATATGTTTCAGTTCGAAACATATTTTAACTTTAAACATGTTTGAAGTCGAAACATGTTCATATATATAAAATCTAAACATGTTTTTATCTGTTAAAATTCTAGACATGTTTAAATTATGAGGATGGTGTGTTTAGGTGGTGTTTAGGCTGTGAGACGATAGCTTATTTCATGTTTATTAAATGCGTTTTGATAGAACACTCCATGAACAATTAGGACGTAAACACATTCCCATAATCATGTTTAGATCTAAACCCATTTTTCACTGTGTACCGTTAAAAACCGTCTCGATCTCTGCCTGTAAGCATGGCGTCCTGTAAAAGGTGCGACCCTAACAGCTGACCATAGGGGCAAAGGTTGGGACGCGCTCGGCAACACCAGGGAAGGGCTGGTACACTATGTTTATAGACGAATCAAGGTTTTGTCCCCGATTCACTGATGGCAGAAAACGTTGTTGGAGACGTAGCGGCGGGCAGCATGCCAGGGCAACAATTCTTTTCCATGATCGTAATGCTGCGTCCTGTCGCAATTGGAATACGATGACATGCATCAACCAAGTCAGCAAGCTGACTACCCGATCCCGTTAGTCACCTCTTACAACAAGCATAGTCGCCTTTTACGACAAGCATGGATTGCTGAACACATATTCCAACCCACATCTTGTCATACATGTATCGTCCAACATGGTGGGCGCACCAGATATTGACCTACACGCCCGAAATTATTTTGACAGACATTTATCGTCATTACGTCTTCACTATCTTTTTTTTTGCAGGTAGTATATATAGTTCAAACGAGATTAAGGGTGAGGTGAGGTGAAATGGGGTTTAACGTCGCGTCCAAGATTATTGCACTTATATTATATATATATATAGCGACGTGCATGTACGTGTGTGTGTTTGTGTTGCTGCTTGTACTAATCCGTACTGATGCCGATTTATAGTGCTAGCTCACTGAGATACCATGCCGCAGTTTAGCATGAATACCCCACTCAGACACAGTATACTGACTCCGAGACGACCAGTCCTTGTTTAGCCCCTTAATGTCGAGCGCCAGACAGGGTAACAACAAGTACCATCTTTTAACGTCTTTTGGTAGGACGCGGTCGGGGATCGAACCCCGGACCTTCCGCTCTCCGGGCGGACGCTCTGCCAATAGACCACGGAGGCGGTCGTTTGAGATTAAGGGAGCTGCAAGAACAAGCCCGTGCTGTGCATGTATATACACCTGGAAACACGTTAAGCACCACAACGCATGCACTTACGTGTACCGGACTGTCGATTGGCAATATATATACATTTGCCGTTGGCCTGATGTTCCGTAATGTCTACGATGTCCCCGAAACCCGATGAAAGGTGAATTGGTACACTCAAGACCAACGCAAGCAAGAAGTCATAACCACATGATACAAGAATCATCCGAAATAATTGAAAGAGTAGTCAAAGATCGGTTGCCAAGAATTTGTTACAAAACATCTTCACATTCCTGTGTCGCGGCGTGTCAGCTTAATGTGAGAGGAAAGCCCGAAGTGATGCAGGTATCAGACGTTTACCTCTTCGGTGAAACCCACGAGCACGGGTATGGTGCTGACAAACCTAGAAACATAATCGGGGCGAACCGGGATCCGAACCCACAATCAAAGGGACGCAACTCTGCACAGCGAATCGCGGCGTCTTAGACTACAGGGCCACCCGTGCCCCCTATTTTGTCAAAGACTTGATGCCATTGATTTACACTTAACATTTCGCAGACAGTAAAGTAAGCAAAGATATCGCCACAAAGTACTATTTAAACAAATTACTATTCCATATAAATGTATAGCAATACGTAATTGTTTGCAAGGTGTTTAAATTCTTCCAACCCTCATGTCGTGTCCTGATCTCCCAGAATTAAACTGGAGTTCCCTGAACGCGGTGTCGACGTAGAAGTTTCGAAGCTTAAGCAAGTTTCATCAAGGTAGTTGTCAGATGTAGATCACATGTCAACAAGGTAATTGTATTTAGTCACTCCATGGTGTTTTCAGTTTCCTTCCATGGCAAATGTTAACGCATTATCTGGTTTCTATTTCAGAACTGAATGACTCTGGGGAAGACTACCTGTGTTTACAGGGCGTGAAGTAGGCGACTCGCTGGGGGAGGTGAAATGCGTCTACTTGAAGAAATAACGTAATGCTTGAATGGTTGTTATACACTAGGACATACAGACTGAAGGCATATCGGTGTACAAGCATGCATCGCTGTGGCCTATGATGAACTGTTCGTGTATGATGTAGTACTGTGTTGTATGATGTAGTACTGTGTGGTAGATGTAGTACTGTGTGGTATGAAATGGTACTATGTGGTAGATGTAGTACTGTGTGGTAGGATGTGGTGCTGTGTGGTAGGATGTGGTACTGTGTGGTAGGATATAGTACTGTGTGATAGGATGTAGTACTGTGTGGTAGAATGTAGTTTTGTGCGGTAGGATGTGGTACTGTGTGGTAGGATGTGGTACTGTGTGGTAGGATGTGGTGCTGTGTGGTAGGATGTAGGACTGTGTGGTAGGATGTGGTACTGTGTGGTAGGATGTGGTACTGTGTGGTAGAATGTAGTACTGTGTGGTAGGATGTGGTACTGTGTGGTAGGATGTGGTGCTGTGTGGTAGGATGTGGTACTGTGTGGTAGGATGTGGTACTGTGTGGTAGGTGTAGTACTGTCTGGTAGGATATAGTACTGTGTGATAGGATGTAGTACTGTGTGGTAGAATGTAGTTTTGTGCGGTAGGATGTGGTATTGTGTGGTAGGATGTAGTACTGTGTGGTAGGATGTGGTATTGTGTGGTAGGATGTGGTACTGTGTGGTGGGATGTGGTACTGTGTGGTAGATGTAGTAGTGTCTGGTAGGATGTGGTATTGTGTGGTAGGATGTGGTACTGTGTGGTGGGATGTGGTACTGTGTGGTAGATGTAGTAGTGTCTGGTAGGATGTGGTATTGTGTGGTAGGATGTGGTACTGTGTGGTGGGATGTGGTGCTGTGTGGTAGATGTAGTCTTAACCAAGTCTTAACACGCTTCTATAGCAAACAAACTGGAAAACATAAAACAAACGGAAGATCTTATTGCGTTGTCTTTATTTGATTGTCTCGATACTAGTATACAAGTGAAAATGAATAAGTAAACACATATTGGAATGATATCTTTTACATCTGGCCAACTGTTGTGAAAGAGGAAACTGTACAAAGTTTCGTACAGACACGCCCACTCAATCACATAGTAACCACATGCTCTCTTTGCTAATCTCACACAATTTCACCCCACAATGTCCGCCATGTAAGTCGATACCACTTGATGAGGCACCTGGACATGTTTCCGTGGTAACCGTCCTGTTTTACTTTGTAACAGCTCTTTGGGCACTTGATTTGATATGTAGCTCTCTATCGTATTGTACATCATAAACAGTTCTGCTACTTTCCACCCGTCAACTTCTAATATGTATTTCTCTTCACACATCGAACTTCTCTCTAATCAAACCAGCCTAATGAACCCCTCCCGTATCTCATCAGAATAAAAACTGCCGAAAAAAAAGTACATCCCAAATGTTTTCTCTAGACAAACCTGTTCAGTGAAAGTACAGCCTCCATGCTCTCTCTGATAAAAGTACAACCCCAATGTTTTCTCCAAATAAGTTTGCCCCAAATTGCCCAAATTACGATCCCCAATGCTCTCTCTAAACAAACTTACCCAATGAAAGTACGACCCCCAATGCTCTCTATAAACAAACTTACCCAATAAAAGTACGATCCCCAATGCTCTCTCTAAACAAACCTGCCCAATGAAAGTCCGACCCCCAATACTCTCTCTAAACAAACTTGCCCCATGAGAGTACGACCCCCAATGTTCTTTCTAAACAAACCTGACCAATAAAAGTACGACCCCCAATGCTCTCTCTGAACAAACCTGCCCCATGAAAGTACGATCCCCAATGCTCTCTCTAAACAAACTTGCCCAATGAAAGTACGATCCCCAATGCTCTCTCTAAAAAAAACTTGCCCTATGAAAGTACGACCCCCAATGCTCTCTCCAAACAAACCTGACCAATGAAAGTACGACCCCCGATGCTCACTCTGAACAAACTTACCCAATGAAAGTACGAACCCCAATGCTCTCTCCAAACAACCTTTCCCAATGAAAGTACGATCTCAAATGCTCTCTCTAAACAAACTTGCCCAATGAAAGTACGACCCCCAATGCTCTCTCCAAACAAACTTGCCCAATGAAAGTACGACCCCCAATGCTCTCTCCAAACAAACCTGCCCAATGAAAGTACGATCCCCATTGCTCTCTCTAAACAAACTTGCCCAATGAAAGTACGACCCCTAATGTTTTCACTAAATAAACCTGTTTAATGAAAATACGATCTCTTATGCTCTCCTTAAACAACCTTGTCCAATGAAAGTAAGATCCCCAATGCTCTCTCTAAACAAACCTTCCCCATGAAAGTACGACCCCCAATGCTCTCTCTAAACAAACCTGCCCCATGAAAGTACGACCCCCAATACTCTCTCCAAACAAACCTGACCAATGAAAGTACGACCCCCAATGCTCTCTCCAAACAAACCTGCCCCATGAGTAGTACGACCCCCAATACTCTCTCCAAACAAACCTGACCAATGAAAGTACGACCCCCAATGCTCTCTCCAAACAAACTTACCCCATGAAAGTACGATCTCTGATGTTTTCTCTAAATAAACCTGTTTAATGAAAGCACGATCTCTTATGCTCTCCTTAAACAATCTTGCCCAATGAAAGTACGACCCCCAATGCTCTCTCTGAACAAACTTGCCCAATGAAAGTACGATCCCCAAAGTTTTCTCTAAACAAACCTGCCCAATGGAAATACAACACCCCTTGTCCCGCATCTCTCAAAACACAGCTGTACAATGACAAAACAACACGCTATTCTGTCTCTTAACAAACCTGTACATTGAAATTATGACCTCAATCCTGTCTCCAAACAAACCCTCAACGCACGTAAAAAGAACGTGGTTGGCTCGGATATCTAAATTGTGAATACAAATGTAACATTTGTGACATTAAGAATAATTCAACGCACTTATCCATTTGCTCCAGGGGGTAGTGAGAGCTAAAAATTACAACACACACACACATAAGCGGCTGGAACACAGATCACGGTGTCTAAATAAGCCTACTGACAGAATACGTTCGGGAACGTGTGTTTATCAGCTTAATCTCTGAACACCCCTGAAGGAATCTTGTTAGTTCTACTCATCAAGTAAGAAGGGACAGAGTTGTTAGAAGAAAAAGCCCCAGGAATATTAGGAAGAGTAGACGGTCGATGACAAGTGCGACCTCCCGCCATTCCGAGTCGTTGTGTCTGACAACCTGATCCGCAGAGTATCTTCCAACGAGCATGCGCAAATTGCGCGAGACCTCCTTCAGCTCGCTTTCGCCGTCCTTCAGGGGTGTGACATCGGAGTCGTGGTCGGGGTAGTCGGCCGAGGCCTTCATGGACACGAAGCTGGCAGTGTGGTCCACGTTGTTGTAGGGGTCCATACAGAGCCATCGACGGAGGCCGTATCGACCTAGCAGCATCTGAACAGACACATCGTAATTAATCAGAATCGGCACGGGACTTGATATCATTAGCAGTATGGGGATGTTTGGATACTCGTTCTCCACTACGTTTTGTCCGACATTATCAATACATTGATCGTAGGGAACTTCGCAAGCTCATTAGGACCAGGATAGCACTTTGTACCAGGGGATTTATTCTTCAATACGCCATACTCAAAGTAAACTCCCTTTTTTTAAGTTTTCACTGTTTTGCAACGGAACTACGTTTCTATATTCGCATAAATGATTATTCTTTCTGAGACAGAAAACCAGTTTTGAAAATGTATTTTGGCATCAAGTTCAAATATCTCTAAAATTCATAAACAAATATTCAAATTTATTTCATTGAAATGTGTTAGTTGTCAATTTCGTAATTAATTAGGATAAATATTCTTAATATAAATATTCTATATAGTAGATGCATATTTATATTCCGTAACAAATTGGACGAATCGAAACATCTAATAGATGATACGTGAAAGACATAACTGTTCAAGTAACGTCAATTCACAAAAACTCGTGAAGATCCGGGGTAGAATAGATCTTCAACAACCCATGCTTGCCGTAAAAGGTTCTGTACAAGTCTGTACAATTCGACATACTTGCCGTGAGAGGCGACTATGCTTGTAAGAGGCGACTAACGGGATCGGGTGGTCAGGCTCGCTGACTTGGTTAATGCATGTCATCGTTTCCCAACTGCGTGGACCACTGCTCATGATGTCAATCACTGGATTGTCTGGTCCAGACTCGATACTTTACACAGACCACCGTCATATAGCTGGAATACTGCTGAGTACGGCGTTGAGCAACAAACAATTCACAAAAGAGGATTGGGTGGACATAGATTGGGTCTAAGGTCCAGTAAGCCTGTGCGCAATAATGTTTCCTTGAGCCGTGTCAGGATCCGCTGAATTGCTCTGATTATTATCCTTGATCTGTCAACATCACATTCGTGCGCAAGGGACTGAATAATAAGCAAGCGTTTTGGAAATATATAACGCATTAAGCTGACACTCTGTGATATTACAGAATATTGTTACGTGTTACGCTCTTAGCATACACTTACAGTTCATCTTATTCACTGAGTTCATCTTGGTAAAAAAGTCACCAATGTGTTAAATGTATCTGTGGTCCCGTTCCTTACGCACAAACTATCATGACAGCATGTTAAGGCTATCTAACACAATAAAAAATAGCATCATTCTAAACAGTGGTTTGCTTGCACTTAAACGACGTATGAACTGGCCGTTTCCTTCCCTTCCCCTGTTTTATTGTGCAGGTTCCGTTTTAAAGCACATTGTCGATCATGAAATGACTCATCTCGTAAAAAGCACAATGTTAAGGCCACTTAACTGAAGTATTCTATTATTTATACACGCCATATAAATGAACATATTTCAGGTTAAAAAATGATATATTCGCTCAAGAAATCTGAAATGTCAAAAAGCCCGTCGTAATAAATACGTCATAATTAAATATCCACGATGAAACAAGAAAATACGCTGATTACCAGTATCTGATATTTTGAAAACCTATTCATCTCAAATACATCATATTCCGAGAGTTTTCATGCCATTTTCCTAAATTTTCTAAAGGTGTCTGAATCTTTGCTTGACCGGAACTGATATTGTGAACAACCATGGTACATATAATTGTTTGAGTTGTGCCTTTTACGTTCGTGGTGACGTCATTCTGGGCATGTTTATTTTGTCCAGTTGTTTGTTTTTTTTTTGTTTAACGCCGCACTCAGCAATATTCCAGCTATATGACGGCGGTCTGTCAATAATCGAATCTGGACCAGAAAATTGACATCATGAGCATCGATCCACGCAATTGGAATACGATGACATGCATCAACCAAGTCAGCGAGCCTGATCACCCAATCCCGTTATTCGCCTTTTACGGCAAGCATGGGTTGCTGAAGACCTATTCTATCCCGGATCTTCACGGGTCTCATGTTTGGAAGTTGTAATTAACTCATAAACATTTGTTTAAGGCAACATGATGAGATCAGGAGTGGACGCTATTAAGGGATTGACGTCCCTTGAGGGGACCGGGGTAATTGATACGTATTAACAAAAGACACCCTGCTGATAAAACTGATAACATCAGCTAGCTACAGAAGTTAGACTGTGACCGGCCTTTAAGGATAGAAAATCTATGGTTGGGATGTCAAGTGCAAATAGCATTATCTGTAATGTTGCAAATACAAGACGTTCAGGTGAGCTACAGAACCTCGTGGCTTTTTGTAACATTAAAGAACTCACTGAACCTGTGGTTGTTGCATAAGTAACATTCATGCATTACTAGATTACGTTGATGTAGCATGCACTGCATTCAAACATTGTATTTGCAGTGATCTGTATGCACTGAAGGAACCCTGTTTGACAGTCACAGAACAAGGAGGCATGATGTTACATCGTACATCAACACGTAGATGATAAGATCAAATAAGTATGATTAGATAAAAGTATGAAAACAAATTATCTACATAGCAGTAAGTATGCCTTGAATGGTGATGACTTCGGTATTAATATCGTCGTGCTAGACACCATACAGATTATAATGATATACGAGTTGTCTCCCTTTTCGTTTACTGACACAAGAATAAAATATTTAGCAAGAAAGGGTACAGTCTTTCAAAGTATTATTTGTATTTGGCTTTGAATTTGGGTTCTCCCCGCAGTATAGTAGAAGAACACCAAATTTTCTATTTCATAAAGTCTGTTGCATTTTGAGCTTTCGGTTCAACAAGGAATGGTTCTAACTAAACTGGGCCCCGTCTCTTAGTATCACAAGTTTATAAGACGCGCATGGAGAGTGCCTTGGATACGTTTTGACCGCACATTTTGTCAGTGTGTCAGTTTGTGAGTGAGTGAGTGAGTTGGGTGGGAGGAAAGTCCGAAGTAATGCAGGTCTCAGACGTTTACCACTTCGGTGAAACCCACGAGCACGGGTATGGTACTGACAAACCTAGAAACATAATTGGGGCGAACCGGGATTCGACCCCACAATCATAGGTTTCTGGCTTGCTCAAGGGACGCAACTCTGCACAGCGAATCGCGGCGCCTTAGACGACTGGGCCCTATTTTGTCAAAGACTTAATGCCATTGATTTATACCTAACATTTCGCAGACAGTGATTAAATATCTTCGAGGGTTATTTAAACAAATGCAAACATTAACATTCTTCAAATAACTCAAATAATTTGTTTTCACCCTTTCCCGAGACCCTGAAACAAGGAAGTGTTCTTATAAGTATTTTACAGCAGTATTTAGGTGCCAACGTTTGGACAGTTTCTTCTGACTATATAAATACATGTAAAAAGTATATATATGTTAGTAGTTATCCTAAATGGGCAACTTACCGCACTCAGGCAAGTGGGGACAGATTTCCCTGTGCTGCCTCTCCGTGACGTGGACGTCACCAGCGACGCCATGATGATGCTCACGCTGGACAGCGCCATTGTTACGACGTAGAACACCGCTGTCAAATACATTGGACTGTAAGTGATGTGGATGGATACTCTGCATATTTACACATTGACGTGTGTGCAAGCCGTAAATGTGTTAATACATGGTTTCAAGTATTGCCTCTTTCTTTCAACATTGGAATATGAAAAATGTTGCAATTTATTATATTATGATTCCAAAGCAGATCGGAATTTAAAACTTATCGTTGTGATTGTCACGCAGGTCCGGAGAAATTAACCTCCGAGGAATTATATACAAACCTCTTTAAACCCTGCATATGAGATCATGGCGTATGCAACGGAAGGTGACAATCCTACAAGGTCGCATGTCTGTGTATGCTTATACATCAGCGGTGAAATATTCTTCATTACATCTTTAGTGAGCTATCCCTGTAGCTATATCTCCCCACCGCCCTTCCAGCACCATATAAAGACAAGCCTCTTCACCGATCTAACTGTTTGATCACAAGACAACACATTTACCACATCCTGACCATGACGTCAGTGGAGGGTCAAACCCCCAGCTTCATCGGAAGTATGCTGGCGCTGGCTGTTCAAAGCCAGATAATATCCCCAAGATGTATCTGATTTAAACTGTACATATTTTTATTCAATGAATCTGGATCGGTAAACAAGGCAAAACGCTTATGTTAATACCTCTCCAGTACAAGTTAAATTCATCAAGGCATTAAACAAAGATGTATCTCAGAAATGCCTTCAGAGATGTATTGAAGAAACGTCTAACTAGTTTAATGTGTAGAGGATCGAGATGAGATAAATACCTATGTTTGGGGTTTCGGACCTGTTGGGACCGAGGACGTCACAGAAATGTTTCAGCAACACGGTCAAGCAGATGAGGACACATGCACCTGTAACACAAATATGGACAAACTAGTTTTTGGTGAACAAAACTGAAATTAAACTGAATAGATTTAATATGTTAAATTTGATCTTAAAACACCTCTCTTCGAGCACTATTCCCATTGACACTGCGGTGCTGGTTTTAAGGGATTTCGGAGCAAACCGCTATCACCAGTACGTCAACCGCCTCCGTGGTCTAGTGGTAGAACGTCCGCACGGAGACGGTCCGGGGTTCCATCCGCGGCCACGTCATACCAAAAGACGTTAAAGATGGTACTTGTTCATACCCTGTCTGGCGCTCGGCATTAAGAGGCTGAAACAAGGACTGGTCGGCTCGGGGTCAGTATACTGTGTCTGAGTTGGGTATTCATGTTAAACTGCGGCTGGTATCTCAGTGGGCTAGCACTATAAATCGGCATCAGTCCGGACTAGTACAAGAGCCACACACACGTGTATGCACGTCGCTATGTAAGTGCGATAATCATGGACGCGACGTCAAACCCCATTTCACCTCACCTCACCTGTTCTGCAGCATGCATGCTCACCTGAGCATGCCCCTGTGTTGTGTGGTCGTATAACGCTGTATAAATGACCTGTTTATATTAATATGTAAAGTAGAAGTACCTAGAGTTGTCTTCCCTGTGGAGTCGACGTGAAGCAGGAAGATGACAGGAACCAGAAGAGCAATCAGCACGGCAGGCCCGACAACCACGCAGTGGTAAAACTGGGATTTCCGCGCCAGGCGAATGCTCACACTAATGTAGTCGACGAGTTCTGGATCATACAGCTGACCAATGGTTCTCTTAACAGTGCTCGCTTTCGCCGTCCATTGACTGCCGACGTTGGCCTCTAGGTGAGCCTGGTCATCAGTGACGTCATGTCCGGGGTGCAGGAAATGGAGTCTGATGAGTTGGGATGAGTAGGACGTGTCCAGCAACGTTATATGGCACACGTGGGAGTCGTAGGGGAACTTGCTGATGTTGATGGGGCACCTGCTTCTGACTCGGTAGTGGGAGTACAGAGCTACATCGCCAGTGGATGCTATAGACGCTAGGTCGTGGGACAAGTGTTCAAAGGAGCCATACATCCTGCAACAAAGAGACTGGGGGCATCAGAGTACCATGTATACAGTCAGCATCTCAAACCATTTCAGAGGGATTGAGTGAATATGCTTTAACTCCGCTTTGAGCAATATTCCAGCAATATCACGGCGTGGGACACCAGGAATGGGCTTCACAAATTGAGCCCATGTGGGAATCGAACCCAGGTCTTCAGCGTGACGAGCGAACGCTTTAAACACTAGGCTACTCCAACGCCCCCTATTTCGGAGAGGATGTACTTTTATATGATTGTAAACAGCAAAACAACTACGATGGATGTGTCTCTGGGTAAGAAACAGTGTTGGCATCAAACCGAATGTGATGATTAACCATAATAGACAGTATTCATGCAAACCATGAACTCCCATACTTTAACAGAAACTTAAAATTACATCTTTGCGAGGCAAGAGAGTTAACTGACTGAAAAAGTCCGGTTTCCACCCTTATCGATCTAGGCTGGAATTTCTGGGCTCGATCGTAGCGCCACCAGTGGCTATTGCGAGTTATGTCCCTTCTGTGTCACTCTTATTGACCAATCAGATTCCACCACTCATATCACTTGCATTAGCTTCAAACGTAATAACGGCGCCCTGTCAAGACGTTCTAATCGATAATCAAGATTTATATTGTGATATAACGGCCTTACTTTGCGAAGTGCATCAAACCACGTGAGTGCCTTGATTACAAACATGAAAATCAGTTGACGCCGAGTTGGCGGTACACATGCTTTGCAAATCCTGCAATCGACAGAAATCTGCACGGCAATTTATGAACCGGATGTCAATTTCGTTGCACGATTATCATTGGACTATGCACGGACTCAAATCACTGAGCACCTTGATTAAAAACATAATAAGATTTGGAAAATATCTGTTGACGAGTTGGAGGTGCACATGCTTTGCAAATCCTGCAATCGACAGAAAACTGCATGACAGTTTACGAACCGGATTTCGATTTTGCGCGATTTTGATTGGACTATGCAAAGACTCGTTAGTCCAGCCAAAATATAACTCCATAATTCCAGCCTTATTCGTCAATGGAGGAAATTGGACATTTATAGTCAGTTAACTCCCTCGCCTCGGGAAGATGTAAAATTATGACAATGGTAACGTTAACTACGTGGAACGGGGCTCAGACTTTTTAGAGGTAATTGTGTGAGGTGCTCGAGACATATTACCCTGAATGTTTTATCTGGGCATCCATTGCGTGGAACTACGAGGTGTTGTAAAAACTTACGTGTGTAACATGCTGAAGTCGGGCTTCCAGATCTGCGAGGCAGGCACCGACAACGCGGACACACCACCATAGTGACTGGTGTTCCAGCTCAGACGGTAGTCTCGCCAAAACTAAAACAGTTGTGAAACTTGAATTTCATGTAAATAGATACCAAGAGACGAAATATGTAATTGTACCGCGATTGGCAACACTTTGTAGCTTTCATCTAAGACCTCTACTGGCACCCCGAGTTATGAACCTCAGTGAACCTCAGTGAACCTCAGTGAAGGTAAAATTCTCAGTTCATACTGTATGGACCCGTGAAGATCCGGGTTACAATCTTCAGCAACCCGTGCTTGTCTTTGGTCAGGCTTGGTTGATACATGTTATCGTTTCCCATTTGTGTGGATGGATGTTCATGATATCAATCACTGGACTGTCTGGCCCAGACTCGATTATTTACAGACCGCCTACATATAGCTGGAATAATACTGAGTGCGGCGTTAAACAACAAACAAACAAACAAATCATACTGAGAACAACTATACTGCTTGCTGTAACTGTTTATGAAGACTCTTGCCAGCATCGCATTGCTGTCAGTGCCATTGGCTTGACGGTGCTACATCGCGGCAAAAGAAGACATGATTGATCTACGTCATTGAACAATTAGGATAATTCTTTATTCAAAGTCCTACATTACACATAGGGCAATATCAATGTCACTGTTACCGTGTACCTCAACATTTTATATCAAGGAGTTCATACAAATGTATGGCCGATGCAAAACAATCATATTCTTTAATGATACACGGCATACCCTTGTTGAGAAAACACAAGCACTCTCACCATTTACATGAGTGACAGAATCGAACCTATACCGAGCTCTGTGACGTCATAATCACGTGGATTGAACCCCAATATGGATTCCCATACAGTTTGGCTGAGATTTGGAACGGTCTGATATTCATTAGTATATTGGCCGTCATTACTTACCGTCTTTAATAATAACGATGCGGACAGCTCTTGTGAACTTTCATCCTGAAAGAGGACAAAGTATGTATTAATCAGTAAAAAGTGAACTCAAACTTCAGATTAGGTTAGCAAGTTACCCCCAAAACAATGAACCAATCACTGACCAGATCTGTGATGGCGGTGACCACGACGGCCAGTCTGATGGTGAGAGTCTCGTTGATGCCGGCGGGTCGTAGGTGGCGGATGTAGTGGTGGTCGTCAAGGAGATGGGAGAACAGGTGGGACTCATGGTCTAACTCCTCATGGACCTCCTCCTCGCTGGGGTGACCTGGCGAACAACATATAGCTGAATAACGCACATATCACACCGTGATGCAACAACTACATGTAGCAATACAACACTACATCAGGGGGCACGGGTGGCTCAGTCGTCTAAGGCGCTGCGATTCGCTGTGCAGAGTTGCGTCCCTTGGGCACGCCAGAAACCTATGATTGTGGGTTCGAATCCCTGTTCGCAACGATTCTGTTTCTAGGTTTGTCAGCACCATACCCTTGCTCGTTGGTTCACCGAAATGGTTAACGTCTGAGACCTGCATCACTTCGGGCTTTCCTCCCACATTAAGCTGACACGCCGTGATATAACTGGAATTATGTTAAAAAGCCAACTCACTCACTCACTAAACACTACATCAACACCGTGTGTTATCGATACAACTGTTTGCCACAACTGATTACTGCTGCAAATATAATATTCCAATTTATTCCGAAAACTAATCCTAATCCTAATTAGTTTACGATTCGACTTGAGATGCATCTCACTTCATATATATTGCTTACAGATGCACAACCCAAATATATTGTTCCAATTTATTTCGAAAAGTAATCATTATCTAAATTAGTTTGATATTCGACTTTGATGAATCTCAGTTCATATATATTGCTAACAGATACACAACCCAAATATATTTGTCACTTGGAATTCTACTGTTGTGCTTTGGCACACTATGGAACCCGGGCATAGCAGTCATTTAAATTTTCTTCAAAACTACACCTATGTCATGCTTTGATCAATATAGTCATTCGACCCACAAGTACATCACACCTACGAATGTTCCTGTAATACGACTGCAAACAAAGGGTGAGTATCAGTATGATTCTAGTGTATATATACATAGTAATATACAAATGGAATTGAAGAGATGGATTTTTTTAAGTATTCATTTCGTCAGTTCATCCAACTTGTATAAGTTAAACAAATCAGTTGAACATGAACTCTGAGACTTGTTGTCACTGCGGCTGCTAGATACGGTATTATTAGGAGTATTGTAAAATTCAGATCTCTCAACCTCTGTTACGCTGTCCCAGGTAGACAAAATATTAGTGATCTCACCATCCCCCCTTCTTGATGATCTGTTTCGTTATACATTGAATCAGAATTTCTTCTAGGATTGACAAAATCAAACCAAGGCGATTTGTTTAATTTTAGCTTCATTTTTCAATATCGATCAAATAGCCACTTCCCTTCCACAGATTGACGCACCTGAACCAGACATAAAAGAGAAGAGTGAAACCGCCTCATCTGTTTTATATTTAGATTTATGCGTAGAGATACGAAGAGGCAATAGGGTATCCACAACCTATAACAAGGGGGATGAATTCAACTTTCTAATGGTTAAATTTCCGTTTACGTGTCGCAGTATTCCAGCAGGTCCAGTCTTTGGTTTTACCTTTCACAACGCTTGAGGTACAATCGAGCGTGTTCTATCGACGAAGATTGCATAGCGCGTCATACGATTCTTGCTCAAAAGGTGTTTCATGATGGTTACGACAGTAAAATGCCCTAGTAAGGATTTCAAAAGATTTGATGGTAGACATGTGTAGGACATTGACGAATCAGTGCCAAGCGTTATGTCCGATACAGTTCATTGTTTTGACTTGTACCATATGTTCCCGTGTTTTGTGTCAGGGAAAACTCTTGTATTGCCTTTGCATGTGTTTGTGATGTTTCCACAGATGGGGCAGGATAGGCTCCCCATTTTAAGAACACCTGGTAGCATCACTAATTTAGAGTAATCCATGAACACATGCCTGTGACGTGTTTGAAGTCGTACAAGGATTCTGCATTTAATAGCAGAGATTTCTTATGATTGTGGAAATGGTTCTTTGGTTCAAAGTCTTTAGACTTATAGTACGCTGCGGGAGATACATTCCTGTATTTGGTCAGTATAACTATAATGTTTTCATGTTTTTACAAGACAATGATGTATCCTACGTCCAAGTCTGTTTTCGTCTTGTATCAGTAAATTGTCAAATGAGCTTGTGTATAACAAGAGGGATGACTTTAACTTTCCAATAGTCAACTTTCCCTTTATGTCGAGCAATATTCCAGCAGCTGCATCCTATGGAGTCGACATTTCACAAGTTTTGAGATACAACCCATCATGCTCTTTTTGCGAAAATTCAACAGAGCGTCATCCGATTCTTGCTAAAAAGTTGTTTGATCAATGTGACAACATTCAAGGCTTCAGTAAAGCTTTCAAAAGGTTTTATGGTAGACATGTGGAGGATATTTCCAAATTTGCGAATCAGTGACAAAATTGTGTCCTTTTTTTACTTGTACCACATGTTCCCGCGTTTTTTGTCAGATGAACAATTGATGGGCCTTTGCGTGTGTTTGTGGCGAACGCCACCGGTTGGGCGGGATACGTTCGCCTTTTTGACGAAAACATGGTATCATCGCTACTCAATAATAATTCATAAAAATTATTTTGTTCCTTGTTTAACAGTGATCCATGCATATAATGTTCACCGATATTAATTTGGCTTTTACGCCCATTAGAGTCTGTTTTGAAACGAGACTGGTTATTGATGTTTGGCTTTTACGCCTATTACGCCCTGTTTTGAAATGAGACTGGTTATTGATATTTGGCTTTTACGCCTATTACGCCCTGTTTTGAAACGAGACTGGTTATTGTCTAGCGTTGACGATATACATTTATAAGAATCCGTTTGTGGCTAGATGATGGTTTTGTTGAATTTCAGGATCAGTATCAATAATACAAGCACTGATCAACCGAAATGTTATCATAAGCCATTGCATTTAGGTATCCATCTACATACATCAGGTCAAAGTATATGCGTATCAATATAGCCAAATGAGTGATTAAAAATATGCTCTCAGTTGTTAAAAGAAAACAACTGTGGATGCATCATATCCAACTTACATCAGAAAACACACTGATCCACTGAAAACACAGTTCACCTGAAAGGAGTATTTTCACATTTGAATATTCTAAAACAAGTAAAACTAACCATTCCCTGTGTCACGCAAAAGGAACAAATTCAGGCCAATTGGTTGCAGGGGGCATGTCAAAACATTAAATATCAATATGTGAAAGAAAATGAAGCACACGTTCAGAAGCGCATCCAGTAACAAAAGTACCAGTCTCTGACAGAGTCATCCTACCCGCATTGTTTGCATACTAAATCACAAAATCAACGTAGTGGTTAGGAATGTTTGAAATATCCCCTCACGTTCTGTGGCAAGTTCTCAGAGAGCATCATAAAAAATAGTTTGATTTGCTTAGTCCTTGCCTTTACATCGTGACGAGAAGATGACAAGAAATAAACCACTGACTTTCTTTTAAAAAAAAAACACGAATACGAAATATCAATTACAAATTGTACGAGCAAACATGGATTGAGATGGGTGATATAAAAATGGCTATCGCCAGGGTCATCTTTGTTTCAGCATCAGAATTCTATGAACATGTCTTTAGGACTCTCGTGGGATCACCGACAGACTAACTGTTTCACGTACTCAAATATTGCCAGGTCACTTGAAACAAGGGACTCATTTATGAAAGGTCATATCCAATTCATTATATGCATATAAAACGTGTCATGCATTCTTAACAATGTCCATGTGTGAGAGCGTGTGCATAAATATTGTTAGGGTCCGAAGAACCTTGTATCCGCTATGATTCTAATCAGCGCTCTATTTTGCACTATCCTGCGAGAAACGTCTGAAATGAATATTGTCAGGGTGAGCTTTGTGAATTACCATATTCGACGTAATAAGCGCCCCGCTCTAATAAGCGCCCACGGCGATATTTGCTAATATATTGGCTAGTGAACAATCCCAATTGGCACCCCTTCCGATTGATAAATGTACACAAGACCTATTTTTTTCGCGTATAATACGCATTCGTGTGTTATATGCACCCTTAATTATGGGCAATTAAATTCTGGAAAATATATCTGTCGTACATAAACATTTCAGGCAGTCGGCATCAACCACGAAATTTATTTTTCAACTCTGTTTTTCTTTTCACTAAAAATAATATTCTAATAAGACGCCACGCCCCCCCCCCCCCCCCCCCCCCCGTCAAAGGCTGAACATTTTATTGCGATAGTAAGGATGGTTATATCAAACGGAATGTACTGCATGATATTTAGTTTCATATATTGCTTTTAAGCTGACAGTGTAAACGTTTAGATGTGAAAACAGACATGTACAAAATTGAATAAAGCCATGATATGTCCTCAATATATTGATGCCTAGTATAGAACGAATATACTACCTGATCATAGTGAAATGCCGAATCCATACGCGTAAGTTGGCGGAATCAAATCGCGACGAAAATTATCATTACTCCAAAAACTATGTTCATACAGCTGTTCTATGCTACACAGAGCGAAACCAAACTAAATAAGCAAACCATATCGTCCATTGAAGGAGGCATCTCCAATTACTGAGAGTATCAACAGCACAAGGCCATTTGTGTTTTTTGGCGCAATATATAAACCAATAGGATTATGAATGCAGAGTTTCATGCTTATATTATCATTTTATCATCCCTAATGTCATTTCGATTTCACAGAAACTTAATTTAGTTCCGTTATTCGCATCAAAATATCACACAGTAATATACAAGTATTTTGTTTCAATATGCCAGCACAATTTTAATTTCCGAAATTAATATAAAAGAGTGCAAGAGTGCAGTATTGATAATCCACCGAAACAGATTCCATTTGGCGTAAACTGTATTACAGCTGTGAAATCTATGAATGAACCACTGCAAATAGGCGATGACACCAGGTGTTCGCGAAAAGGGCACGCAAGTCCTACCAGTGAGGAAGTGAGTATGGTTTTACGCCGCTTTTTGTCCTACCAGTAGCGCCCGCCATTCACACAATTTGCATAAAAGGTTTAAACATAATGCCTGGCGCCACACAGCTGTACCCCTGCCATGCGACGGCGTCCTGAACACAAACCAGGCAACCGTGTAAACCAGAGACCCGATAGAGCATTTACTGATTTTGTTAAAACGAAAAAAAACGATGTGTTCATTTTGCTTTGTGCAGGTACAGAGATTCTGCTGCTGATAAGTAAAGAAAAACGATTAAGAAACATATTCGTATTGCAACACAGTGGGGGACAAGTTTTTATGTCTCTGCCCTAACATTTCTTTTGTAGTTGACCTAGCAAAGATAGAAATATAATCTCCAGAAACATTATGGCTGTGTAATACTTTTTGGCAAAACGTGAAAGAAGACAAGAACGAATAATAATGGTATGTTTAACATGTATATATGCGATATTACATACACACGTATATTTATATTTATATATACAGTTGAGATACACATAAATAAATTGACAGAAAATTTCCATATTCAGCAGAAATATCTACGATTGTACAATTTCCACTATATCATAAAAATGAGTTGATGAATCACAATTGCAGAGAGTGATGTCAATCCGAAACTGTATGTACATGTCCAAATATGAAACAGATGAGGTGGTGTCATTAGTCTCTTTTTGTGTACAGTCTTCTGTATAGTGTTTTGTTACCCTGTGACATACTTTCAAAGGCTTCGGCAAATGGGTTTTTTCACATTAACCGTAATAATAAGTATCTTTCAAACAAATTTGTGTATGGAATTTGAATTTTTGAATTTTTCTGTGTACTATTGAAGAATAGGGACACTCTTGTAAACAAGTTGACAGTACTTTGATGTTGCACAGGAATTGAACAAATGCACCAGTGCACGAAAAAGTGCTTGACAAATACACGGCCGATGAAAAATACCAAAGGAAATTGAAAATGCGCCTTTGCAAATCGCAGACAAGAAAAACAAGCTAGAAGACGTTTACATTACAGGAGAACCTGCTCTGTATATTTGGAATTCCACAGTCTATCAAGATTAGATTATCACAGCTTAATTTGACCTTATCAAGTCTATTGTCAAAAACAAACTTTTATGTTCCTGTAATATAGTTTTAAATGAACCAATGACAAGAGGGTGTATTTGACAAATATTGATATGTAAATACTTGATCCTGTCAAATAAAATGTTTATCTCATTCCCCGCTCATTATGAAGGTATCTAACTTGAAGTCACTATCCACGCACGACCAAGAGATGCAACCCTTCACAGCTAACAGAAGCGCCATTGACCACTTGCGTTCTTGGTTAAACGTGGTAATTCAACTGCAGCTGTGCACGTGGTGATACAAAAATAGAGTATCTGTCCATGTGAAAAAGCTCGGTAATACAACAACAAAACATGTGTCGACGTAAAAGAAGCTGATAAAACAACTCAAAAATATTTGTCCATGTGATAAAGGTTGGTAATACAACAATAAAGTATTTGTCCATGCGATAAAGGTTGGTAATACAACAAAAAGTATTTGTCCATGTGATAAAGGATGCTGATACAACAATGAAGTATTTGTCCCTTTTGTAAAGGTTGGTACTGCAACTATAAAGTGTTAGTCCATGTGATATAGGTTAGTAATACAACAATAAAGAATGTGTCCCTCTTGTTAAGGTTGGTACTGCAACTATAAAGTGTTTGTCCATGTGATATAGGTTGGAAATAGAACAATTAAGAATTTGTCCCTCTTGTTAAGGTTGGTACTGCAACTATAAAGTGTTTGTCCATGTGATACAGGTTGGTAATACAACAATAAAGAATTTGTCCCTTTTGTAAAGGTTGGTACTGCAACTATAAAGTGTTTGTCCATGTGATACAGGTTGGTAATACAAAAAAAAGAATTTGCTGCTTTTTTTAAGGTTGCTAATAGAACTAAAAGTGTTTGTCCGTGTGAAAAAGGTCGGTAATACAACAATAAAGTATTTGCCCATGTAAGAGAGGCTGGTAAAACAACTATAAAGTGTCTGTCCATGTGAAACATTTTGGCAACACAACAATAAAGTATTTGTCCCTTTTGTAAAGGTTGGTAATACAACTATAAGGTATTAAACCATATGAAAAAGGTAGGTAAAATAACTATATAGTCTGTCCATGTGATAAAGGTTTGATAATACAATAATATTGTATTTGTCAATGTCGTTAAGACCCGTGAAGATCCGGGGTAGAAAAGGTCTTCAGCAACCCATGCTTGCCGTAAAATGCGACTATGCTTGTCGTAAGAGGCGACTAACGGGATCGGGTGGTCAGGCTCGCTGACTTGCTTGATGCATGTCATCGTATCCAAATTACGTGGATTGATGCTCATGATGTCAATCACTGGATTGTCTGGTCCAGACTCGATTCTTTACACAGATCGTCGTCATATAGCTGGAATATTGCTGAGTGAGGCGTTAAACAACAAACAAACAAACTAACAATGTGGTAAAGGTTGGTAATACAACTATAATGTTATTGTCCATGCGATGAAGGTTGGTAAAACAACTATTAAGCGTCTATCTACGTGGTAAAGGTTCATAATACAACAATATTGTATTTATTCATTTAATAAAGGCTGGTAATTCAACCTATACTACGAGTCTGTGGTTAACAGCCCTGGCCGCGTCGTACAGTACAAAATGAAGCTAACAATGGTACTTGTTACCGTGTCTGGTACTCGACATGAAGGGGATAAACAACTTGAAGAATTGGCCAGTCCGAAGTCACTATACTATGTCTGAGTTGTTATCCATGTCAAACTGCGGCATGGTATCTCAGTGGACTGGTACTATAAAATCGGCATAAGTCCGGACAAGTACAATCGGACACGTGCATACACGTCGCTATACGATTAAAATACTATAAAATACGATGTTAACTATCACTAAACCCTGTCTCACTGTGTGATTAAGTTTGGTTATGCAGCAGTGCAGTTGATAAGATAACATTGATGTCAAACTTCTTTTACACAACGTTTAAGTGCTACTTCCGTCAGATAAAGGATTGCCTTAATGTACATATGTAGAAAGGTAAAATGCAGACATTGTGCATATAGAACGATGGGCCCTTCTTACCTCCAGACGATAAGATGGTGCACAGAAGACACAAAACTTTGAGCAGTCCGCCCTTGTGTATATCCATGTTGAACGGGACGTTGTCATGTGATCAGAAAACGGTTCTGTAATAAGACGGATGTTTGAACTGGAAGCAAACATCCCTTCTCGCTGCAATGTTTGAAGCGTCTCGTCAACAAACAGTGGACATGTTGGCATGTGACCTGCGTTCGGGGAGACAGTGATGGCAGACGTTAACCAACTGCCTTAGTCTCAGAATAGGAATTTAATTATAACCATTATGCATATATCAATAACACCTCTTGATGGACAGTTTGTGTGTGAAACCTGCAACAAGTGTTGGTACACAGTGTGGACTAATACCAGCAATATGCATTTGATACCTGCAATATGCATTTGATACCTGCAATATGCATTTGATACCTGCAATATGCATTTGATACATGCAATATGCATTTGATACCTGCACTATGCATTTGATACCTGCACTATGCATTTGATACCTGCAATATGCATTTGATACCCGCAATATGCATTGTTATAGGGAGCAGAACGATGATAACAATAATATGTTTATTCATATAGTTCCGCGAGGCACGGGCGGGAAGTCCAGTCGTCTGAGCTGCGTCCCTTAGGCACGCCAGAAATCTATGATAGGGGGTTCGAATCCCGGTTCAACCCACTTGTTTCTTTTTTTTTCAGCACCATGTTCGTGGGTTTCACCTAAGTGGTAAACGCCTGAGACCCCCATCACGAATGCGCCTTTCATGATAAGGCACGCCTACATTGTCTTCAGAAACCATGGTTACGTCGTCTTGGTACTTTAAACACGTGCATCCTGCTGATGAAGTTTTACGTGAGAAAGTCGTTTCCACCCCACAGAGTTCATTTAGTTTCATTTCTTCTGTCACGCGTTTTTGTTTTCACAAAAAAATAATGTTCACCGCATCGAAAAACTTACGTTAGGGGTGTTAGCCAATGATGAACAAACCTAAGCCTAGAATGAGTCATAGGAAACTATTATGACAATGTATCGTCGACAGTTCTTGGGTCATGAACATTAACACATATCTTGCACTAGAATGACATTTCTTCAGGACGTTTACTTGATACATAACTGGACCTTTAGAATTACTTCTTAAGAATTTGTAATTTATTAAATTGATAGTAATATCCTGTTAATATATGTGCATATTCGTAACAGGTGAGGTGATATGAGGTGAAATGAGGTTAACGTCGCACTCAAGAATATTGCATTTAGACAGCGACGCGCTTATAACATGGATTCTCTAGTCAGAAATATCATACCGACTACTATTAACCGACCAGTCCTTGTTTTATCGCTTTAATGTCGAGCGCCAGGCAGGGTAACAACAAATACCATTTATTTACGTCTGTTGGTTAGACGCGTCGGGGAAAAACCGAACTATAGCTACAACCCTCTCCGGGAAGACGCTCTTTCAACAAGACCACGGAGATGGTCCATATTCGGAATAAACCATCACTTCATCAGTCCAATTACCATGAACAGTTTTACCAATATTAGAGTGAAAATAATTCTTATTTATGTTTCTTTTCTTGCGATGAACTATTAATATGTAAGGTCCTACAACAAATACATGTACTGATACACACATCGTGTTATCGGCAGTCTGTATAGTACGTCGGGACAACACATCCCTTTGTTTCACAAAAACTAGGAAAGTGTTGTATTTCAAAGAGGTCAAATGTACAATATACACTTTGTTCTCCACTCGAAGGACGATTAGATTAATGCATTGTGTGAGATTATCGGTGTGTACACAGGGCTCCTATCGAAATCTCTATGGAACTCCTTTCCCTCCAGCCTCAAAACCGCACCAAGTATCGCTGTGTGTAAATCCGGACTCAAAACATACCTTTTTTAACGCTACAACTGAATGTGTATATTTTATTATCTTACTGTCCCTCTCTGTTGTATATATGTACATATGTTGTGTCTACACATTGAGAATGTCCCTCGGTGATGTGGAATGTTGCGCTATAGAAATAGCCTTCTTCTTCTTCTCTTCTTCTTCTTCTTCTTCTTATTATTATTATTTACAGATTAAAATATAAAATGCAGCAAAGAGGGTTTGGGCGATCCTGGCACAGTCAGGCTGGTTAGGCTCTTCATCAGCTCAGGGCCCTTGCCCCCTCTACACGCAGCCCAGACAGCGAATGGGACTTTCTCCCAGGAAGCGCTGCCAAGAACTTTTCGGAGAATGTGAAGACTCCCCAACACTGCAGCCTTCTGCATTAACCAGATTGTCAGAAGGGCTGTATTCCTGGGAGCAAACCCGGGTAGTCTCCCAATGTCAGTCAACAGATTGGGAGGTACCAAACCTAAGGCACCGAGAACGATCGGGATTCGGACAACTTGGTACTTGTGATGCAAGCGTGACATTTCGAAAGCGAGGTCTGCATATTTGCCATGTTTTTCCTCAGTCTTGTCAATCACATTAGTGTCAAAGGGGACAGAAAATTCAATGATATAAATGATTTCATTGGATTTATCAAAAAGGACAAGATCAGGTTTGTTTATGTCTGAGGCTGTATACGGGCCTTTTCCAAAGGATTTGTATTTATCATTTTCCATGACGCCCTCTACATATTCCGGGTCGTACCATGGATGGACCTCTATGTCAAAACCACAAGTATGGCGGAGACGGTAATAAAATGATCGAGCCACCCCATCATGTCGCTTTAGACACTGTGTTTGTGCCAAAGATGGGCATCAACTGACAATGTGTTGGACAGTCTCATTAAATTCATTACATAATCTACATTTCATATTCACATTTTGATGCAAAATCACACATTGACGGTTTCGAGTTGGAAGTGACTGGTCCTGAGCAGCAAACAGAAAGCCTTCTGTTTCACTTTTCAGGCCAGACGACTTCATCCAAGCGAAAAACTCTGCAGGATTGCTGATCTTCTCAACACACTACACATAAACTCGATGCAGTGGTCGTTCAGAAAGCCTCTCCTTGAAAAGTCTGGGCCGACTTGACATATATATATTATTATCATTATTATTATTTAAGGCCTCGGTTTAAATGTGGATACAGGTGGTGTGTCGCTACCGATCACCTTAAGCTCGGCGGTCACTGAGTTAGCACCATGCTACGCTGGGAGGTTCTCCCCCATCTGCATGTCCATATCTTTCAGTAGCGGTACGACCCCGAACATACACATAAACCTCACACTGTACGAGGCAGATGCACAGAGTTTTCAGCTTGAATGCCTCAAAATCACAAGTCCTACAAGCGTGTAGTTATTCCGTGCTGAAACCCACAGATTTACATCTTGTGTTATGGTAATAATACAACATACTAAGAGCCCTTAAGGCACTCGCCTGGAAGTAAGTAGATTAGCAACTTCGAAAAGGATGTATTAACTAAAAACTGGAGTATTTGTTGCAAGGTCACACTGTTATGGTCAAGGTCAGCGTCAAAATGATTCGCCCACTGATTGATGAAATTTCAAGTCTTGTCAGCATGTGACGAATCCAGGGCCCAGTTGCACAAAGCAATCTTAGCGCTCAGACTATCGTAATCCCGTGTTATAGGGTCACTAATCTCTTGCTTCTTCTCGGCTGCCTGACACTGGCAGCTGGGGCTCAATTGTCAATTGAGCTTGACAAGCGACTGGGCTACCGTCTGTAAAGACAGCTTAAATAAACTTGGAGGCAATATTTGTTTTACGCATTTTTGAAAACTGATTGGTTACCCGTAATCTATAATGATTTCGACAAAGGACGCATGTTTATTCATTTCTTCAGCCTAAACAAACAGACTAAAAGAACGGTGGAAGCTCATCGGATGTCATCATTTGGAAATACTCCTGATGGTTATAGTTTTGTAATAAAAAAAAGAGTATCCCTGCAGTGAAAGCATTTTTAGATTTCGGATTGCGTGGATAATAAGATTCCTACTCCGTTGTTGTCATCCACGTTTTCTGGTATAATCCTACACTTGTGTGTACTTGTCGTGATTCACTTGATGCTCAGTTAATGAATTTATTTCAGGTATTTCAGGTTCCCATTTGGCATTTCTTGTGCCTGGGATAATTATTCAATCTAAATCCAGGTTTGAAGTGAGGTGAAATATGTGTTATGTAATATGCACGTGGAATCCCAGCAAGGGATCATTCCTAGCCATCACAGGATCAACAGAAAATGCGTTGATTGATTAATCACTGTTATCTTGCACAGTGGATATGTCAAAAGTAAGTGTTTACGTGTCTAGGTTTACTAAAGCAAAGGGAATACACTCACATCATGGCGTGAAGTGCCGATATAAAAACAACATACTTTGTTCAAACCGATAGTACATTGATTGATTGCTCATTGTTATCTAACTCAATGGATTTTTCTTGAAGGGGCACTTATCTAAAGCAATTCCCCGTGACCGGTTGTTTCCTTTGTTATTGTTTTTTTCCCGTGAGTACCCGTATTTATAGCAGAAATCTAGACTGGTTCGCGACCTGTGCTGCGCATTTCCTAAGCGCATTATTCACTTTTTATGGATAGTAATAAAGGCGTGTGGTCACCTTGATCAACAAAATGAAATATAGTTTTTGAGATAATAAGGAAATGTAGGTATCTTTGAGGGTAGCATCGGCAATGGTGACGAAGTTTTGATAAGTCACTTGCTTGGAAATTGTGCGATTTTCGTTTACACTATTTTGACTTGCAACACAAAGTAAATATTTCACCTGAGCATTGCTCATTTTATCGTATGTATATTTTTACAGTCAAAATGTGTAAGATTTTCAATTAGGAAATTTATTAAACGCTTAATATTCAGACATATGCGCTTCACATGGCGCAGCACAGGTCGCGAACTAGTCTAGATTTCTGCTATGTGATCCGGGTACTCACGGGGCCAAACAATAACAAAGGCAACAACCAGTCCCGGGGCATTGCTTTAGATCAGTGCCCCTTTAAAGTATGGGAATTACGATCATCTTAGCGCTAAGATTGCTTTGTGCAACTGGGCCCACGTGTGCTTCGGGGCTCAACCGTGCGAACAAGCGAGGGGTCATACGTACAGCAAGGTGATCACGTTCCGTATCGGC